AAGTCGAGACAAGGGCTGTAAAATATTGTTCCAATATGATTTTATGGTTCTGTCTGGTGTTGTGTGCCAAAGAAATCATTGGTTTAAAAGCCTCAGGCTCCACAGCTGCTGCGCACTATTAAAGCATCACATCCTTCAGCGTGTTTATTGGGCTCTAATGATTTTCTGTCTCTCCATCTCCCCTGCAGGGGAGGAAGGCACCTGGGCGCTCAGGGAGTCGATCCAGCAACATCTCCAAGGTAACTGTTAAATATCGGTGCTTAAAGCATTAAAATCAAGGTCACAGTTCATAGTGTACGGTAGCATTGCATAGGAAAGCACAGTTTGATGTGCGAGAATGTGGTTAGGGTGTGTGTCCCACTTAGAGTAGAGATGGATGTTCACAAAACATCAAGTGCACACTGATGCATGACTCACACAGAGTACTCAATTTTCATTTAAGGTCCATTAGTTCAGATTTCTCATATAAACATCAATCATCATTTGAAAAGCTACAGATCACTTCATTTTTTTTTATCACATCTATAAGTCTTTTCTATTTTTTTTTTGCACGGCCTTCAAATAAAGAAGGCTCACCACCCTCACGCTAGTTTTTAGCAGCACTAGGCAGCTGTTTTTAACAAAAACAACCTCACCGGCTGAAGACTCTCTTCAGTGTATTCCGATGAATCATCTGAGACTAAACCCGATTTGAAAGTAGAAATCATAACACGGAAGTAACGTTTTTTACGTGACCAGAAATGCAGCTCAAATAACTTTAGTTACTCTACTTTTGCCAGAGGCGGAATTAAGCAGTTGTTTGTTCACATATTAGCTAAAAGAGTTTTAAAAAGTGGCAGCGATTTACAGTATAATGGGTGCATAAATGAGGTGCAACCTACTCAGTGTCACTGATTAATGAATGCAAGCACATCTTGATGCATTCTCAATCATCCAGGAAAATAAATCTCCAAAAGTTGATTCTGTTCATCTGGACGTAGCGTTTTCTGGGAGAAACCCAGAAATTTTATTGTAGTATTTTATATATATCTACTGTCTATATTTTATACATTAGGTAAGTTAAATGCTCAGTACCTACAGTAAGGGTTACAGTAAGGGGTCGCCCACATGACAAATGACAGTACATTAAGGAGTATGTTTGATACTCAAGTCTTAGGTTTTTGGGTATTTCAGGAGTACCTTCTACAAAAATAAATAAATAAAAATAAAAATGCACCCACATTTGAGCACCAGTAAACATTTACTGGCACCTGATTCATAAAACTATGTGTGATTGGTTGTTTAGTAACTCATAAGTAATTGTAGAATGCACTAAATAGAGGATGTTGGTGGTTGCAGGCTAGCAACTCAACTGCAGGGCTCACTACAGCCTCAAGGACATCCATAACACCATCCGCTCAGGACATATGCAGGTAAGATTGGCTTCTCTTGCAGTTACAGTTACCTGGGAAGAAAGACTCCATTCCTTGACTATCTGCAAATATCTGTTCAAACATCTCTTTTAAAGCCAGGAGCAGCCAAGCTTCTCTCTGTGATATTAACATGCACACTTCTCTTCTGAGTGGGAGACTGAATTAGCATGGTTGGCTGCACCCCGAGGGCATAACAAACTTAAAATGTGTGCTGTGGCGCTCCCATAGTGCAATCAATGGAGGGGGAGATGACTGATTGCAGAAATGGAAACCTTCAGCTTGTTATATCCACTGGTGCCGTGTTGGCCACACTGACAGGCTCAGTCCTTTGGCTTCATGGCCGAAACGAGGCTCTGTGTGTGTGTGTGTGTGTGTGTGTGTGTGTGTGTGTGTGTGTGTGTGTGTGTGTTAGTACCTCAATTTGCTGTCCTAAGTTCAGTCCATGTCCACTGCCTGCTTGTTTGATTATTTAGCCTGATCATAAGCTTTAGTTTCCATTCTGTTTCCTGTTATCCATTTCCTGTTTTGCAGGGGCAGTTTCTGTCCAACTACTCTCACCTTCAAATGAAACAGAAGCTGTGTTAGCAACCTCTAATAGCAAATAACTCTTTGTTATCCACATTAATTAAAGAAGAATGAGATATTCCGTGATCATAACGTGTTTCCAAGTATAAGGAAGAAATCATGGGCAGCCCTAATTCTGTCACTTAGAAATGAACCTGAATGACAGCAGAAAATATATAAAGAGAAGTGTCATTTTACCGTAAATACACCTGGTTAATTGATCATCAGCAAGTGTGCTCATGTGTGCACCTCTATAAAAGCAGAAGTTTGGGGAGTTTTCTGCTCTGAATTGTTGAGGTGTGCGTTACACAATATCACAATCTTCTACACCAGAAAGCCTGAAAAAGAAAAGAATCAGTGTTGCAATGGTCCAAAGTCCAGACTTTAACCTTATTGAAATCCTTTGGTGGAGCTGTAAGAGAGCTGTGCATGAACAAATGCTGACAAACCTCAAGGAACTGAAGCAACACTGTAAGGAAGAGTCGGCGAAAATTCCTCCACATTGATGTGAGAGACAGAAAACCATTGCTTTGAGTTATTGCTGCTAAAGGTGGTTCTACAACTCACTCAATCGTGGGACTTAGTTTCTTCATTTTTGTTAGTTAAATAATGATACGTGTCATATGTTGTTCTTCATTTTAGGACAAAATATTATTTTTATTATATCCTGATATATAAACTCTTAGAGTTGATGAGAGTGTCAATTGTGCAGGATTGTTCAGAGGAACAGATGTGGTGCTTTGGAGTCTCACAGGTTACTTTCTCTCATTTCTATGGCTAACGTATCGATGGACCTGTTCATCTTCATTCTCAGTCTGTATGATTGCATAGCACAAGTTAAATCCTTTACTTGTTAAGTAATCAAAATCAAAAATGGTAGCATAAATTGTTACTAGTAAATTGACTAAACTTAATCTTTAAAATCATGCAGCTATGTTTCAGCCCATTGCTTTAGTTATGACAGAGTTATGTTTTTCCATCTTGTTTCACTTTATTTCATCTCCATCTGTGTGCGAATGTGTGTGTGTGTGTGTGTTTAGTTCTGGACAGCTGACCCGCTTAGAGGAGGATGCGTCTGAGTCACGCAAACACAAAAAGCACACACACAACTCCTCTGCAATGACAGTCACTGGCACCACTCTGGGCTCATCGGCTCAGGCACAGAAAAAGCAGGTGAAGCGACGTCACCGCCGCAAGAGAAGCAGCTGCACGGCCATCGACTGCGTGGAAACCAATGGCAAGCATGACCACAGCGACCGGAGCCTCAGCTCTGACCGTAGTGAGCTGGGCGAGAAGAGGGAGCACTCCTTCAGGAACCGGAGGGATCTCCCGCCTCGCTTCCGGTGCACAGGTGTGCCGCATTCAGACTCCTCGGAGGATGAGGCGTGCCGCGAGAGCCGCAGCTGGAGCAAAGAGAAAGCCAGAAGAGCGCGCCGCCGCAGCGGGAGCAGCCGGGACAGGGATGTGATAAACACACACAAAGGAGGAGAAGACAAAGCCGAGATCATGGAGCTGCAATCTGTGGGCTCAGATGAAGGGAAAGAGAGTCAACCTCTGATGGAGGACGGCAGCGGCCTTAAGAAGCGCCACAACCACGGGAGCTCAGTGAAGAGAGACGGCCATGCATCGCAGAGGGATCGATCGCAGGGCAGAGATAAGGATACGAAGAGCTACAAGTCACAGAGCCCAAGAGGCAGCTCCTCATTGGCCGACGACGGCGAGGAGCTCATCACCAAGAGATACCAGGAGAAGGGGTCAGGGGGCGGGGACATGTCAGTGCCCACACTCCAGAAACACTGTGGTGCGAATGGGAACACACCGCATCCCTGCTCTGATGACTCTGAGCTGGAGGTCTGCAGGTTAGTTACATAAGTGTGAAAACTGATCATGTACTGACCCCAAGTTTATCTTCATTGCTCAGATGAGGCCAAACAAGTAAAGACAGAGAGAGGCACTAAAATAAAACAGTGCAGAGACTGCAGGTCATTTCTCCTTATGTCTGTGTGCAGGATCTGCCACTGTGAGGGGGACGACGAGTGTCCGTTGATAATGCCCTGTCGCTGCACGGGAAGCCTCAGTTTTGTTCATCAGGCCTGTCTCAACCAGTGGATCAAATCCTCCGACACTCGCTGCTGTGAACTCTGCAAATTTGACTTCATCATGGAGACGAAGCTCAAACCTTTAAGCAAGGTACGCACGCACTTAGGTCTTCCTGCAAAAGCGTTAAGCGCTGAGATATGCAGGGCAGTTCTGAGCGTGTTTCTCTGTCTCCCTCCTGTGTTCGCCCCTCTTTCTTCCAGTGGGAGAAGCTACACATGTCGAAGAGCGAGAGGAGGAAGATCTTCTGTTCAGTGCTGTTTCACCTGATAGCGATAGTGTGTATGTTGTGGTCGGTCTACATTCTGGTGAGGAGAACTGCTGAAGAGATCCGACTCGGAAAGAACGGTCAGTGCTTTCCCTTCGCCTCCCCGCCGCTCACACGCCAGAGTCAGGCAGCGTGCAGTACGGTCCCTGTGGTTTCTCCTTCACTGTTTGCACGTGATCACGTGTGTCTATAGTTACATGTTGGATACTATTTCTCACCACATGTAACATGAACAAAAAGCCTTCTTTTTTATTATCGTCTACTATGATCAATGTGTAGATCTATATTTATAATTCTCTTTCTCTTTAACTTCACTTTCTTTTTCTGGGTGTGCGTGGCATTTGTTAATACACCCTATGAGCCGTAAAATCCCTCAGATTTCATATTCACCTCTTCTCTTATAGAATAACCGACAAATACACAGAATTAGTAAGAACTCCTAAAATGGGTGCATTAATGTGTGGGTGTTGTTTTCCTTTTCATTGATTCATTCATACAGATGGCATGAGTGAGTGGAAAGGAGTTTCCACTCACTCACACCGAGTAGGTTTAACTTCTTTAATGTTTCTTTTCTGGTGTAGTCAGTTACTTATGGCCGGTATTGATGTGGGTGGAATGGATTTATACAGGATTGTACCATGAAAAGTGTATTAGCTTCAACTCTACTGGTACAATATGTCAAAGAATACAGTGTGCATAATCCACTCTCAACATGCCCCCACAGGGTACATTTAACCTGTAGCTATGCCTGACTCTGGTTAAGTGATTTTAAAATGTTTGCCTGTTTGGGTATATTAGGTACATTATACATTAGGTGTTTTACTGTGATAGTCATCCCTAAAGGTCTCTCTGCACATTAGGCGTCCTGCTCTAGTGTGGAAGACGGACTTTGCTTTTAGACATCCTCAGTACTCTGAAGAGTTAACTTTCAGTTTCTCAGACAGTTTATAACATTTGAAAGTCTCAAAATAAATGTGTGAAGCTGCTGAACTGAACATGTTTAGCAATACTTGTGGTATGTGGCCAAGTAACTACATCGCGCTTGCCATATTCACAGGCCACTTTATTAGGTACATGTGTTCAACTGCCAATTAAAAGAAATATCTAATCAGCCAATCACATTGGCTGATTAGATATGGTCAAGATCATCTGCTGATGTTCAAACTGAGCATCAGAAGAAGTAGGGCCATTTAAGTGACGCGACGCGTCATGGTTGTTGGTGCCAAATGGGCTCATCTGGGTAGTTCAGAAACTGTTGATGGACTAAGATTTTCCCACACAACCAGTGTGCAGCGGTTCTATGGAACAAAATTCCTTGCTAATGCCACAGATCAGAGGAGATGGGCCAGACTGCTTTTGTCCCCTTATGAGAACAGTGTGCACATCTCCTGATAACGCACCATGTCACACAATGGTCAAATCAATGTATTAACTGTACTCAAAAGGCCTCCACAGTCACCAGACCTCAGTCCAAAAGAGCAGCTTTGTGATGTGGTGGAACGAGAGATTCACATCACGAGTGTGCAGCTGACAAATCTGCAGCTACTGTGTGATGTTGTCGTGTCAATATGGACCAAAACGTGTTTCCGGCACCTTGTTGAATCTGTGCAACGAAGAATCAAGGCAGCTGTACCTAACGAAGCTGAAAGTCAGTGTTAACGAATATAAAAGAGCTTTTAGTTTAATGTGACAGAAATCTTTGCATTTTTCAAGTAAACTGTCGACGCTGGTGCTTTTTCTTTTGACACTGGCCAAATAGTCTTTCTACGCCTGTTTGCAGGAAAATCTTTGTCAAGTCTGCGATGTGTTTACAGGAAGTTATTTTGACAAAGGTGACACATTTTTTGGTAATTCTAAGAGAAACAGCTACCAAATTTATTGGAAAGTGAAACCCAAAGACCAACTGTCTGCAACAATAAGGTTTCAGATGTTATACTTCAAAGACAGCAAGGTTCCCACTGCAGCCTCAGAGTATAATCTCGAGAACATAATAATAATCATTTTTTAAAAACAGCCGGATGGAGAAAACCACTTGGAAATTAATGCAAAAGTAATTTGCATGGTACACTACTTATACCTGAAATCTGTGAGATTAACACTCTCAGGAATGTGAAGATGATGCGATTGTTGATCACTATCCTCTGATCCACGAGTTATCCTTCAAGTCACAGTTAACACCCCTCAGTGCTCTTCTACATTCATGGTTGTGTTCAGTGGTGGTGTGTGTCGTGTTGTGTTTACGATGTAGGACGTAAGAGTAGATGCAGAAAAATAGAGATATTCTCTTTATACATATGATCTATAAAATCATATGCATTAATATTTAGAGTATTTCTACAGTGTTTGCACAATAGAATAGTTTTCTCCAGAGATTAAAAAGAGAAATCGCTCTTGATTGCAGCCGAATTATGGAGAGTTTCTCTTCTGAAGTACTATACGCCGCAGGGTAAGCACAGCTCTGCACATGCCACCATCTTGACCCCTCACACGTCTGAGAAGGGCACTAACAGCTGCTGTGTGTGTGCGTCGGTGTCCTTTCAGGTGTGCTGGAGTGGCCCTTCTGGACTAAGCTGATTGTGGTGGCCATTGGCTTCACGGGTGGCCTCATCTTTATGTACATCCAGTGTAAAGTCTACCTGCAGCTGTGGCGCCGCCTCAAGGCCTTCAACCGCATCATCACTGTGCAGAACTGTCCTGAGAAGGACCTGCACAACCCCCAGGCCCGGCACAGCACCATCGCCAATGGCAGGCATGAAACCGTGGAGGTGCCGGTCAGCCAGGCCCCTGCCCCAGCTCCGGCAGCGGCGATGGACTCTGACACGTCGGTGGAAGCTGCCGTGGCGCCGGAGCAAAACCCCGTTTGACTTATCTCCTCCTGCTCCGAGAACAGTCCCTAATCCCACTCTGCTCATGGTAATGTCAATGAGCACAGTGAGATTTGGACTTGTGCGGTGTTGTAATGTTGTTCTCAACTCCAGTGGGTGCTGTTGGACAAACGAACTGATCCGGTCCTTCGGTGATCCAGAAAAGTTGGGGTCAGAAGGGCTTCACGAAGAAAGGATGAGGGGCAGAGTGTGGAGAGAGGACAGAAAACAAAGCCATCGGCACAGAACGCTTGTAAAGACCGTGTTTTGTCGTTTACCGACACCATTTTATCCCTGTATGCACTTTCTCAACCTGCGCTGATATGAGTTACAGATGTGAACACCCTGCAGATGCTCATCAAAGGTCTCAGTATGTTTCAAATGAATCACACATATGACTCGTAATCAGTCCCCACATCAGCTGATCGCTCAGCTGACACTCTGTCACACATCTACAAGGCGGGACAATTAAGCTGCTTCAGCCTTTACCACCCAGCTTCTCTGTTCTGCTTTCACTGATCCTGCTACTGATCTGTAAGGGGGACTTGCTGCTGCTCTTGCTGAGAGCTGGGAAGTCCCAGAAGAGAGCCTACACAGTCCTGATTGGCCCAGCTGAAGCCTCGCATGAATCGTAGAATCAGAGATGCAACATTGTAGCAGATGAGGGCTACTCTGAAACGCTCCAGATTCAGTCACCGCAGCCACGGTGCTGACTCTGAGATCTGTAACACATCTGTGCCCCTGGTGCTCACTGAGAGACTTCCCCATTTAGAAGTTGAGCTGCTTTCATATTTTTGAACAAAACATATGGACCAATCACTTTACATGAAGTGCAGATCTATGACCCGCAGACACACTACTCAAAGGTTTTTAATGAATTTGGAAAAGTTGTCAAAGGTGAGTGAGGCAGGATTAAAAAATACAATAGCTTGAGCTTGTTTTAAACCTGCCTGATTGGGCCTGTGTGACAAGCTCTGAAGCATACTGAGGCCTTTACTCTCCTTTTGGACAATCAGGTCTTCAGACACCAAAGAGTCAGATGTTATAGGTAGAGAAGCAGACTGTAAACGGAACCTTTAGCTCAGCCGGAGATCTAAAAACATAATAGTCTGAAAGTTATCGTCAGATTATTTGTTAAAATAGAAAGTCTACAGTAGCCCAGTCGTTTGCAGCTTCGGAGGTCCTGAGCTGGACAACCTTTATTTATGTTGATGTAACTAGAGCTTTCATAGTTCCCCCCCCCCATTCATGTTTTTACATTAGATTATGAGCATTTCACTTGATTCGAACCGACACAAAGTCGGCCTACTCAAAGCGACTGTTACTCACACATGACCACTTTTATAGTCTCGATTTGGTTTCTCACCTCACAGAAAATACAGTTTCCTCTATGTCTTAAACCCACCACAACAGCTTTTTTCTAAATAAAACAGAGCATCGTGGTTACATGAAACGCATATTTATTTGTGCAATAAATGATGAATGTAGAAACCTCTGAAAGGCTGGTGTGAAGTTACTGAGAAACTTTTGGCAGGAGTTCAGACTGAAAAAAAAAAAATCTGACTTTGCTATTTGAGGCTGTAGCACCATCTCGTGGACCGTCCAGGAATAGCAGCAGCATCTTCTCACACATCACATTAAGTCTTAATACTCCAGTAGCTCCAACATGAAGAGTCTCAGTGGGAGTCTGAAATCGCATCCATTTGCTCACTGTCCAAATCGCTTCCATCTTCCTCATTATCATCATCCTCCTGATCCTCCTTGCCCTCGTGTTTCTCCTCTCCTTCCTTCTTTGACTCTAAACTTTTGTTCGAGACCTTGCGCAGTTTAATATTCGGAAGTTTCTTCAGGTCCCCAGTCCACTCTCTGCAAAATTTAAAAACGCAATAATACTAATGACCAGTCTTCAAAATCGAATCATTTCAAGTTCAGACTTAAGAGTCCATGTATGTACTTTTATCAGCTGATCAGCCAATCTGTGAAATGATGGAAGCTGAATAATTAGAACATCTTCTCAAACAAGGAGAAACAAGAGGTTGAGTTTAGCTCATTAAAGCTCGTCCACTCACCTAAAGGTCTTCAGATGTTTTCCGTTGATGATGTCGGGGATTTCTGAAACACCGCAGCAGAAGATCAGTCAATTTTACAGCCAGAGGTGTCTATAAATTACTCGTTTCTTTTTTATTTCGTTTTTTAAAAACAAAGACTCACCGAAACCGACACCCTCAAACTGTGCCCGCTCTCGCTCGATGGTCTGTTTGATTATGGCCTCTCTGGCGCCATGGAGACGACCCTGCCGACCTTTGATCCCATTCATGAGTTCAATCTGCTCAAGTTCAGAGTCAAATCTGTGGAGGTATCTGAAGACAGAAAACATACTACTGTTCATACACTTTGTTGCTTCATTTTGTTTTAGGATACATATACAAGTATTTCATGAGTTTAAAACACATTCATTGGGGGGAAAAATATAATTTATGCATAAAGTCAATGTTTAAAGTGTTTAACCTTCTTCATCATGAGATCTGCAGTTCTTTGTGGTGTGCTGGATATCAGTGTCCGGGCAAAATCCTGACTGATTGCGATTCATTCCTGGCTCATCAGTGTTCCAGGTTCATCAGTTTCTGGGGTTCTGCTTGTTCACCTGTTTTTTCTTTTAAGGACTGTAACTAGATTATGGTGGCATTAGGATCTAGGTAGTTAATTTGATGATCTTCAGGCCGCTTAATTATCATTTTTTCCTCGGGACACGGTGCTCCTTTGTGCTGGAAAATGCAAAGATTGTCACTAAACTGTTCTGGGAGCGATAAAAGAAGCTGGTCTTTTAAGATGTTTTTATTGGCGACAAACTGATCGACTTGGGAACACAATCAGGATTTTCCCCTGACATGGATATCCAGCACACCGTAGAGAACTGCAGAAGTTATAAAGAAAAGTCAGCGCTGTAAATTCCTTTATGTGTATTCCTTTATCCTTTAAATTTATGTGACCACAAAAGACTCCGAAACTCATAAAACACATATGATTGATCTGTATCTTAGTTTTACATAAAAAGGAATACATTCAAATAAAAACTGGAAGAGCAAAATGCACAAAATTACCGCCACGGCTCAAACTTTTGGTTGTGATTGTTGAAGGTGATGGTTTCTGTTTATAGTCGGAGTGGAACCGACCAATCATGGTAGAGGGGGGTTGGGTTCATGCAGGCTGGAGAATAAAACGAGGGCTCTATTTGCCCAAATGAAATCATCACCTGCTGTCTGATGACATGTAGCGTTTTGTAAACAATGGCCAGCTGATGGATGATGAAGTCTCAGCCCTGAAAACATGAACCGCTCTCACCAGAGACTGGGGCAGCTCACAGACTGGCTGATGGGCTCACAGTTTAATGCATGTACGGTCTCTCTCTCTTTTTGTTTTTGCACTTCCAAATGAAAAATAATGTACTCCAAATTCAAAATGAACATAAGCCCAGAGCCAAACCTCTCAATGATGTCGCAGGCATCTTTTTTTGTGTAAGTCGCCTTAGCTGGATCCAGCTCACTCTGAAACCACAAGAGCTTCTCACCTGTGATTGGAGATACAAGAAAAAAAGGAAAGAAAACATCAATAAACACCTTTTTCTTTTTTTTTGCTCTTGCAATAACATGAACGAAAAGCTTGCTCTCACCAATGTTGCTTAGACGAGTAGCTTTCTCAGTCTTCTGCCTGCAGCATCAGAAAGAAACCAGTTAAACCTCCTTTAAATCACCACACAGACGCTGTTTACTTCACACAAGAGGTTAAAGAAAACTGTCAAGGCAGGATGAAGTGTCTCAATCAGCCTAAGTTACATTTAATAACATGTCCCTGGAGCCACGCTCGTGTTTGCATCTGCAGACTCGCAGCGCGGAGGCGGAGACATGGCAAGAGTTTAACACAATGCTCAAATGTGAGGCTAACAACATGCTATTGATTCGTTAAGGTGAGCTGATCTCTGCGGCCATCCACAAACCTCTCTTTCCTCCTAAGTCTGCACTCCTCTCGGGCCATATAAGCTGCCTTCCGGCTGTACGGATGAACCACTTTCTCCGCAGGTTTTCCCCTCTGAATCTTCGGCTAAAAAACACGACGAGCTCCGATCATTTAGAGGCCTTTTATTAACGCTATACAAACAGAAAACCCCACAGTTCAACATACTCACCATTTTAACTGTGGAAACACGTGTACTGCAGGGTCTGTTGACAGCTGGACCGGAAGTGGTCCGTCTTCAAATTAAATCCGGACGTCGTGCGGGGAAACTAGAGAGGTTCCTCCAACTTAATGAGATACTTCTACTACTACTGCTACTACTAATTATACAATTTTAAGATGCGATCAAAAATAAATTGAGAAATTTATACATATATATACATATATATATATTATAAGAAATTAATGAAAATTAATGAATTTTTCCTCTTCATGTTTTTATAATTAAAGAAATGTAAACACTGAAACAGACTGCACAACAAATATGGATACATTACAAAATCTGTAGCTAAATTACACAAAGTAATCACTCCATGAATGAAATTAAAATGATAAAGGGATGGTGCTTTATTCTCCTTCTTATCCATTTTTTAAAAAGTAAAACCCAGACGTTTGGATCTGCTATTGCGTTTATTGTTGAGAAAACAAGTGTACCGTGATTTGATCTATATCTGTGTTTGGCAAGATTTAGGTGTTACTCCTTGACTCAGGAATAAGTATCTAATGTGTGTAGAGAAGAGGAAATTATAATATCAACATTCATGTCCACACAGGTGCTGAATGAATGCAGCGGCATTAGTGGGACCAGTTGAGACCAGTCGGACTCCCCCTGCACTGCAGGCTTCATTGAAAAGATTGGATATGAGGAGAGGAGCGAGCCTCCGTCTCATTTTGGAGCTACAGGCAGGCCCATAAGTTTTTGGACAGTTATACTTTTTGTGTGTGTTTGTTTTTGTAATTTTGCATCTACATTCGTGGATTTTTATAGAATAGAAAAATATGGTCGATGTAAGTTTTATCACACTAAAGCATTTATGAAATGTGAGTAAGCAGACTAACCATGTATGAATAGCTCTGTCTCCCAAGCCTAGTCACAGTTAATAAGGTGGGATGCCTTTCTGCCACAGTCTTTTTCCTCTGTCAGTAGTGACAGGAGAATTCATTTACTTATGTAAAATAATATAATACTAGGATAATACTCCATTAAGAGTAAGACACCTGGTGGTACTTGCTGAGCATTTGCGAAAGCTTGAGTCTGACTTGGGTTAATGAGCTCTCAATTATAGACTACTCTTTCCATACAAGTACAAACTGCTGCACAGATCTGCTGTGGGAGAAGTATTGCAAAAGTCAGGTGTAAAGAAACAGCCAATTTAAAAGCTGAGTGATGTGAAACTGATGACTTGTGTGTAAATTCAGTGATTTGAGCAAGACGGCAAGACTTTTCAACCATTAATATCTCCTACGCTTACAGATTTATTACACACACACAGATGTGATTAAACAGTTCCTTAAGTCTCTTGAAAGCCTTCTGAGCAGATTCATGCCAGCTGATTGGAAACTTTGGAGAGGTGAGAGTGGTTTGCTGTCATGGTCTGGGTGAGTTAGTGTTTTTCTGTAGTGCCTGGCGCTGCTCGTCTGGGTCATCATCACTCCTCCCAGGGCTTCCAGCTGGAGCTGATTAGACCGGCAGTACTTAAGACCAGCGCT